TGTGTGTGTGTGTGTGTGTGTGTGTACCAGTCTCATGCTAAGCAGTCGTGTGTGTGTCCGTGCGATGTTGTTGTAGACGTGGCTGCAGTGGCGCAGTAACTCCAGCAGGCGTCTCTCTATTTGCTGAGCGTCGGTCGGCTCGCTGCGTTGGATCAACACCTCGCCGCGCTGCAGGAGGGCGTTCACACGGCCCGAGTTCCCTCACACACCCTGCTGGAAGGACTGTGACCACACACACACACACACACACACACACACACACACACACACACAAACACACCCATGCAGATTAAAAGAAAGGTAAATATGCAAAAGGTAAGGTCTCTCTCTCTCTCTCTCTCTCTCTCGCTCTCTCTCTCTCTCTCTCTCTCTCTCTCTACCTGCAGCCGTCTCAGCTTCTCACAGGTGTTTCCTTTCAGATGATCGACCACAGTCAGACGGACGTCTAGGTTGGCCAACCACAGAGCAAGCTCCTCCCTCTCTGTCTCAAACCCCTCCCACTCTGAGATGAAGAGCTGAGAGAGCGAAAGCGAACGAGCGAGAGAGAGAGAGAGAGAGTGAGAGAGCATCCTTATGCCTGATTCAAATACACAGTACAGATGTTATTAAGGACATTTCAGAGGAAACATCTGGAGGGACTCTGACCTTCAGCCGTGCTGTGACAGTCTCCAGTTTGGCGTTCACATCGTCCCATCGTTGTCCACACTCCCTCGCCGACGCCAGCAGCCGAGCCCGCATGGCGCCCTTGAACAGTCGAGTCAGTGTTCGATTCCTGTGGGTCAGACTGTCCAACTGGACGAGCTGAGATCCGGCCTCGCACCGCAGCCTCTGCACGCGAGAAGAAGAAGAGCTGTGACGTGGAAACGCTCAAAGTTGAGGACATTTTTTTAATCTTTAAGATGATTTGTTACAAACGTTTCACCTCAAACGTCCTCAGATCTTCTTTGGCGGCGGAGTAGGTGACGGGGGCGAAGTTTGGGGAAGTGACGGCCTGTTCAGCCAATCGCAGCCAAGCGTCCAGGTGGGCGTGTTCCTTCATGAACTCGTGCCAGAGGATCCACCTCCTCTCCAACCTGAAAACAGAGTCAACGACAGAAGATATAAAACTGGAAACATGGAAATTATACATTTATAAGAATAAGAATTTATTTCATGACAAACGTAATGTCTTGTTTTCGCTCTTTTAAACATCCAAACAGCGTTTTCATCACAGAGCGTCGTTTTAAAGAAGACAGCTGACGTTGTTGACAGGTCGACTGTAAGAAACTCGATCAGAATGGATTTTTTATGTTGTTGAACATTTTCTTCACCGTCCACAGCTCTGCACGTCTGCGTCTCGACTCCGGCCATCGGCCACTTCCTGTGCGTCGCCCAAACTCGTCTCCAGCGGGGACGAGGTGAAGAGAAACTCGGACAGATTCAGAGACGGCTCCATGTCGTCACCGTGGCGATCTGACTCCAGGTCTCCTGACATCACGTCAACTCGACCTGTGGAGAGACGGCGTGCAGACGATAAGTTCAACTCAAACTTGAAGTCTCTCATTTCTGTCACTAAACTTTTCTCTTCTTTCTCCTTTTTTTTTGTTGCAGTTCTGAAGAAACTGTGATTCTCTGAAGCACAAACACACACTTCCTGTTCTGCCCAACAACACGTTACATCACTCACGTACAGAACGTATGGACGGACAGAGAGACGGAGATAAAGACACAGGTGAACATCTGTTCAACATGTGGACGGACACACACACACACACACACACACACACACACACACACACAC